CATTGCTCAGTAGTGTCGTTAGATCAATTTCTCTGTCTGTACTGCAGATAGGTCCAGTCCGCCTCAGGATCTTCACCTGTTGAGGAAGTGATATTCCTCGGTTTCGTGATCCGCTCTGATACCAAATGAAAAAGCAAGAACCTTTATACAAGATACTAAACCAGAGATATGTAAGTGACACAGGTAGTTTTCAATAAAAACACACAGTCTTTATTGCTATCCCCGCAGAGCACAACAGCTGATACACAACACAGCTGTTGTAATAGATAGATTATACAAACACTTCTACATAACAGATCCTACAATCTATTCTACCTAGAGTTACGCGACATGACACACACGTGATTTGCTCCTGAACATGTTCATAATCTACCCAATGTAACGCCACGACAGTTACGAAACCTATCTCTTTCACTCAACACAACATATCAAATGGCTCTCACTGTTTCTGAGTTCTTCAAAGACCTATTTTGGAAGAACTAGTCGGCATATGAACTATTGCCCCTCTTTTTATAGTAGTAGTAAGTAGCAACTCCTATAGCCCTAAAAGCAACTCCCCCTTAATCCGAAAGGGCAACAGAACTGCTCCTGTTGATGTCAGACCGCCAGTCCCATCAACCTTTTCTCAACAATAAGTAAACCCACTTGCACATTGACTTTGTGCACTTGTGTAAGAACTCCTTGTTTCCCGAACCTGACTTCCAGCGTACGCTTCCTGGTAGTGATGTTCCCAACTTGAGGTGCCACCTGGCGTGCCTAGTCACAAGAAGACTTTTCTCCTTAGTTTGCTGATTATTGTTTCCAGTTTCTGTGTAGTACACGAACTCTTCACTGGTTCACTGATCCTGTTGCTTCAGCAGATTCTTCTGCTCTAACACTTCCTTCCTATTTGATCACAATATACATAGAAAAACCTTTGTGATCTTCTATATTCGTTCTCTTCTTGTCTTTGGGTGGTTGAAAAACTACCTTGATAGACGCATCAAACATCACTTTTCCATTTTTACAGTGTGTTGAAAAGATAATGGGAATAGAAAATTATCAACAGATTATGCTGGTTGTCTTAGACGGGTAAGATTAGATAGATATATATTGAAGTTTAAGATTTACTTGTTGTGTTTTCGCACTACATTCAATATAAGCAGGTGGTTCAATCATCTTCTTTAGTTCTTCACCTTATTCTAATAC